TGGCTATTCGCGTAAGGTCGAATGCTTTGACGCGCTCGAGCTGCTCAGCCGGTGTTGCTACCACCTGGCTCTGCAGGGCGTCCCTCCCGAAGATGCCTGCCATCTTCCGAACCGACTCGAACTGAGAGTCGTTCATATGGGAGAAGTCGTTCCTATCCATGGCAACGAACTTCGGAGGTTCAGGTAGTCTACCCGCGATGGCGTGGATTGACTACGAGTGCTACCAAGTGTGACGGGGTCACACAGCACCTTGCGCTAGAGGAAGTTATCTTCCGAGAGTATACAAACTCTCAGGGAACGGGAGGTCACAGGTCCCCTCTTTAATTAAAGAGAGCGAAGTGACCTAAATAAGGTAGATTGTAAACTGAGGATATTTATAGGTAGGTTAAGTTTGTGGTTAATACAAACTATCAGTTACCTATAGAAATGCAATGTCATTTAACCAATGCTTGGTTTTGAATGACCTTGGTACCTTGTACCAAATATCCCGGAGTATGACATGTCATACTCCTGAAGTGTGAAGTGTCACACTTCATGTAACCAGGGTACACTTAGTGCTACGTACCCCGTTACAGTATACAAACTCTCAGTAAACGGCAGTTTACAGGTCCTCTTTAGCGAAGTGACCAATTTAGGTAGGTTGTAAATTGAGTGTATTTATAAGTAGGCTAAGCTTGAGTTAACAAACAAACTTTAAGTCATCTGTATAAATGCATCATCAGCCAATGAATGGCCTCGGACGACCCTGGTACCGTGTACCAGATATTCCGAAGTATGACGTGTCACACTTCATGTAACTAGGGGTACACTTAGGGATACGTACCCCGTTACAATTTGAATGTGATTTTCTGCAGAACGCTATTCTCAGCGTGCAGCGCTCTTGCTTAACCCTTTAAGACATACCGATATACCAGAAGATTACGTGGTGGTCAGAGCATTTCCACCGTACATATCCCCTCGTTTTGGGTGCAGCGTTGTAAGCTTACTCTTAGTAATTTCGAACTGGTTCACAGTAAAATTGGAGTAAAGTGGCTTGCGAAGAGTATATGATCAAGGCAAACAACACGCAGAACAGCGTAGAATAACGTACGATTTCGATAATTGCTCATCCACTTGATGTGACGAGCGCTGGATGGCTCAAAAAGGATAGGCTGTCGACTCACATCCAGCTGCTTGGTTCACCGCCATCGTCGCGGTGCAAGGAAGCACGTTATCAAACAATGCCGTGCGGTGCACGGGAAGCTCTGGATTTGGTGTACTTTTACTATCCGAGTCAGAATAAAAGAGTTATTTTGTCTCATTATAAGTTTAGATAATTCGATGAAATATCCCTTTTCTTTAATATGTTTTTGATAGAATGCGACAGAGAGAACATTGTTTGGGTTGCTCCTTCAGCTTTTTCAGTCTTAGAGGTTCTTCATAGCACCTAGGCATGGTGCGTAAATTTTCGTCTGGATTGCGTCGTCACTACCTTCGTTCCCTTCGTTCGACCAAAGCGAGTCGCTGCGGGGCGATAGGTAGACGTTGGAGGAGTCGATGCGGCCAAGCGAAGCTTTGCAAGCCTGTGAGCCTGTTCGTGCTGAATCAAAATCAAATAAAGCAGTGCAAACAAGCTAGGTTGTCTTGTGCTTTGTTGAAGGGTAAATTTGAAAGGTGTTTGGTATGCAGCTATGAAGTATCTTACGTATTGATTATTGATTATTGCCAGAGTCATCTCAAAATCGAGTGCCACACGGGGTTTCGATGGAGACTTGTCTCGTTGGGCATAATAAAGCGGATATTACTGGTGCTCGTCGTATTGGAACTAAACCGACTAAACTATCGCTTGTAGCTCGAGTCCAACCATGTTCATACTGACGGAATCGACTCAAGTATGAACTGCAGTATTGCCTCTCGACAGGTTTTATCGAAAAATACTGGAACAGTACATCACGCTAAAATTCCTTTGGCTTTGAAACAGCCAACTAAACAGCATGATTCTGGAATTGAAGTAGTATTTGGTATTATTGATCGCATTTGGGATGGATACAGCTATCTTTACAGAGTTCAGTGGCGGGATGCGTCTAATGGTTTTCGATGGCCGGACTCGTGGGAGCCTGGGCAGTCGTTGCGTGCCGATGGATTTGATGATGCTTGTGATATTGTGGATACTTGGAAACAGTCTCGTACACCTTGCTTTTTCAAATTTTGTAAAACAAATGAACAAGCTAGTCGAATTGGAGCCTCTCCGCGTAAGGATTGTGATTTCTATGGCATCCGAGTCGCCTCTAACCTAATCGGAAGTGCTGATTGGTGTACCGATACTACGGCTGCGTCTTTCCGCGAGCATTGTAAGGGGCGAGGTCGTCCACTTTCTGAGAAGGGGATCTCATATGGGGAGCTTCGGTACTTTATCAAGTTTGCAAATGAGAAGTGTTTGATACCCGAGCAGAGACTCAGTTTGCCCATTCTCGATAAGAATATAATGTCTGGGGTGAATGGTCACGTCGCTGGGTCACAACTAGTAGCCCTAACGCTGGAAAATGGTGTTTATATCTGTGCTGCCTTCGATTCCAAACGTGTCACGCATTGCTTTGGTTGAAACCTTGAAGCGTTTGCACGATTATAAGCATGGTGGCATTACGATTTCAACATTTGATACTACATGGATTTTTGGCGTTATTTTCGTTCGTCGTGTGGCTCGCTTCAGTGCGTAGGAGTGCATAGCCGCATTGCGCTCGATTTGTTTTAGCGGTAATGCTGAATGTTATATTTCTCAAAATGGCGGTACTAAACTTAGTTTATTTTGCACTGTGATTTATCAGGTTTATAGTAATATTTAAGGCTGTTAAACGATTTACCCGTCTCACATTCAGGTGGCTGTGAGGATTCAAGTCAAGTAAAGCTGTAAGTGATGGTTTGTTGCTGTGCGAGCCTGGAAGAGATTTCACGTGGCCGCGGTTTGGCTTCATCACGGTGTGATGCATGTGTGCAACGTGCAGCAGCTGAGCGTCGGCGAATTAGGACTCAACAAAGGCGTATTGCTGCGTCTCGAGTGGAAACGTCTCAGTATGAGAAGGTTGCTTATGGAAAGAGAGTTGCAACTGTAATGAGCTATTGCAAAGTATTGGTGAGTGTGGGGTCGACGCTAGAGGTACTGCTGATGATCCTGATCCATGTATGTGGGAAGTTGGTAAGGTTCCAAGTGTCGTGAAGGATCGTGCGCTCAAAAGATGTGCTGAAATGTTGTCAAGTGACTACATGGAAGAAACACTTTGCTGCGTATGTGACGGACTGTTTCCGTGTCGTGGGATTACTGTCAGATCTGCGGAAAAGTGTAAGGCTT